ACCCTAAACCCTACAAAAGCCCTAAATCCCTAAACCCCTAGACCCTAAACCCTACAAAAGCCCTAAATCCCTAAACCCCTAGACCCTAAACCCTACAAACGTCCTAAAGCCCCCAAAGTCTCGTTCACAAGCGCTTTGGCCACGCTGAGCCAGCCGGGACGTCGCCTCGGTTCTGAAGAGAAGGGGCTTTAGGGTTTATGTAGGGTTTATAGGGTTTAGGGTTGCAAAAATGTGTACTTCACCTTTAACCGGTTCAGAGTTTTACCGCAACCTAATATTTACAGATGTATACCGAAAAGGGCTCTTAGAGTTAGGATTCGGGGTATACCTTAGCCCTACAGAGCCTACCGTTGCAGGGTTCCCCATTATCCCTAAACCCTAAACCCTAAACCCAAACCCAAAACCCTAAACCATTATTATGATTTTCTGCACCCTAAGGCTTCTTGGGATTTTAGAGTTTAGGGTTTTTAAGGTTGGGACGTTGAAAATGTATACCTTAACTTAAGCGGCCGTAACCTACTATTTAGACATGTATACCTGAAGGATTCTTAAGGTTTTTTTGGCGATTTATATGGGTTTCAGGCTTACCCTACCTTGAACTACCATGACCTGTTTTTTGTAGGTTCTTACTATAAACCTTATGGACTTTAGCAATCCTTAGGTCCAGGTAGGGTTTAGGATCTAGGCTCTTTCTTGGTTGAGGGCTTAGGGTTGCGGGTTGTCTGCTTTGGGGTTAAGGGTTGCCGGGTTTTCCGATGTTTGCGCGCTGCATGTTTAGTAGGGCTTAGGGTTTAGGATTTAAGGCCTTATAGGCTTTATAGGGATTAGGGGCAAGGGGAGCTTAGGGTTTATTTTAGTAGGGCTTAGGCGGTTTATGCTGCTTGTAGGGCTTTAATTTTCGGGTGGATACTCTCAAGGCAGCCTGGTGGGAGTTTTTTGAAGTCCGCAAGAACAGGGATGCTGCTTTCTGAGCGTCTGATGAGGTCTCCTTAAGGCAGGGATATCCTCACAAAATGCTTACCTAGGCGACCGAGACCCTCCGTCTACCCTCTATGAGACCCCCAAATACCTAATACTTGGGGCCATCTACGTCTATTTGTGGATACAAGGAGGGTCTTGGTATGTCAGTAAATACGTGTTCTTGCGTCTAAAGACAATACTCGAGCTCCCTGCAGTACCTCTAACATTCTTTAGCTGCAAGATGACTTCGACAGATCCCTAAACCCTAAACGCTAAAACCGCCCGCATAACATCCTCCACCTGTAAGCCCGACTTCCACACCTGCCACACAAAGCTTATGCGCAAAGGGCCAACAGCCCTTGACTAAGGAACATATCCTGAATCTTAATGGCAAGCCCAGGAACATAGTTTAAGCTACCCCCTGGACCCTTAAGAACCTACCTTTTGAAGCACGTGTGTAAGGAAAACGTAATAAGGAACCCAAAAAAAACATGTTCTTGAGGGCCCAGGCATTCCATAATCGTAATACGCGAGGCAGTACCCACGCAGGACAGCTCTTCAGGACTGCTAGCACACACAGCCTGTCAGTTCAGAGTAAAGACCTCGAGGTTCTTAAAAGCTTAGGTGTGCATCAGAACGGATCCCAGACAACTGTCACTGCCATCGTTTAGGATTTAGGGTTTAGGTGTTTAGGGTTTAGGGTTTAGGGCTGTTGCTACTATGTACTACTATGTGTTGTTGCTATCGCTACGTTCGTCGGTAGGAACGTTCCAGAAGAGAAAGACATGTTGCGGCCACGCTGGAACTAGAAAAGGAACCCACATGCGGAGCAAGCAATGCTGTTGTCATCGCGATTAGAGGGCCCTAAACCCTAAAACCCGAAACGCCTAAATCCTAAAACTTACAAACCCTGAACCCTGCAACTATATGAACCCTAAACCCTAAACCCTTAACCACTTGCAGGCCTGTTCTCACAACTGCTCCTGGCTTCCAAACAGCGAGCTTATCGACCACTGTAAGGGGCCTTATAGTAGCCCTTATAGAACCCTTTAAGGAACCCTTAGAAGGAACCCCCATGAAACCCTATTCTAGTTATTAAGATTAAGGCCCCTATAGCACCCGATCGATCCAACCCGGAGCCCCACCGTCGCGCCGAAGCAATGGGATCCAAACGGGGTTTAGGGTTTAGGGGTGCTGGGCTAAAGAATTCACTCTAAGCTACCATAATCAGGATCTGTAGCAAATAACATGGCTTCCGAATCATGGTAGCTTATCCTAACTTCCCCAACAAGCAGCCAGCTTAGGGGTTTCATAGTGTTTCAGAAGGCTTCATAGGGTTTCGGGTGCAGGATTTAGGGCGAAAGGATTTGGATGATACGTTCCTTTGCAAAGAACATCTACATGACTTCGGCATGCGCTGACTTGATATCCCAGCCCCCGTCCTGTGAGAATTTGTCACAGTAGATTGCAAACAAAAAACGTGTAGAGGCACAGCGCCGAGAGCAAATCCCCAAACCCAGAGCCACCAACACCTAAACTGGAAGGCCCAAAACCCCAAAACCCTAAGACCCTAAACCCTAATCCTTAAAACCCTAAACCCTACAACCCTAACCCCTGATCCTTGTTTTCAGCCCTCGCTGCCAGCAGAGTGATCCAGTATGTCTGGCATCCCCTCGGCCCGGGTGTGAAGCTCTGTTTCGGGTTTAGGGTTTAGGGTTTAGGGTTTAGGCGCCCCTTTCTGCAAGAAACTCCCGCCTTCACAGACCTACACTAAGGTGAAATTTAGGGTTTAGGGTTTGCCAAAGAGCACTGCACCCGTCTGCACATTTTGGGTTCGTTGGTGGATCCTCAATACCCACAGGCTCCATTGTAGTTCCTTTTTCGGGATTACCTTCTGGGATCCAAAGTATGAATCACAAAAGGAACTACTCTGGAGCCTATGGGTAGGTAGCTTCTAACTGCTTCGGAGAACAGCAGGGATGAAACACAGATTGCATGGTGGCCTAAGGCTCGGGCTCCGGGGCTGTGGGCTTTAGAAGTAGCTTATCGGTACATTTCGGGGGTGTCATAATGTCAGAGGTCCATTTCCGGGGGATCCTTGTGCGATCGAGGGTCGACATTGGAAGTGCCCCGTGTTCCGAAATGCCCCTGAACTCCAAGTGGCATGAACGGAAAGAACTAAAAAGGACACGTACGATCGCATGCATATATCGCAAAAATAACCCTAACCCCCCAGGTACCTACTATATTACTATACAGGGTACTAGAGCCCCTATAGGGCCCTATATAGTAGGTACCTGGGGGGTTTGGGTAACTTATGCCAGCTGCAGCCAGGGCTCGCTCCTCGTATAAGAGAAGTCGCGAAGGCCAGTGCCAGTGAAGAGCTGAACGACTTGAGGCTTCTCAGACCGACACGGGTAATTCTCTAAATCAGGGTCCCTTTGTAGGTCCTAAAAATAATACGGCACCCTTATAAAAAGGACCCTAAAAGGGACCCTAACTTAGAGAACTACACACATGCTGCCAGGTATGCAGACTCTCCATCGCCCTCTTCTCCAGAAGAAGGCATACCACCTCGGTGTAGCCACACCGGGAAGCGACCATGAGAGGTGTTTGAAGGTCCGGCCCAGTCCTGTCAACCATCGATTTCGCTTCCAGCAGGAGGCGGACTACATCGAGGTGGCCACCTTCACAGGCGGCTAGGAGGGGAAATTGGCCTCCCCGCGTCTCTTTATCTGCGTCTGCACCTGCCTTCAGCAACAAGCATGCGACATCACCTTGCCCGTCGCGCGAAGCAATTAACAAAGGAGTCTCGCCCGCAGCGTTCACCCGGTCAATCTCCACCCGTGCCTCAAGTAACAAACGAGCCACATCACTGTGGCCACCCAGTGCCGCCAGTCCCAGGGCCGTCATGCCGGACTTCGTGGTATGCTCGCAATCTGCCTTGGAACAGACCCAAAGGGTCCAAGTACTAGTATAGTATACACTTTTGGGGCCCAAATACCTACTAAGTATCTACCCTAAACCCTAAACCCTAAACCCTAAACCCCTAAACCCTAAACCCTAAAACCTACTATAATGGTACTTGGACCCTTTGGGAGAGCAGGAGCTCTGCCACCTCCCAGTGCCCCGAGCGCGCAGCGGCAAAGAGGGGAGTCTCCGAGTCCTGGAGCCCTTTAAAGCATCGAATCGGTTTAGGGTTTAGGGTTTAGGGTTTAGGGTTTAATCCTGAAGCCTCGAGCCATAAAGATAGGCCCTAAAGTAGTTCCTTTTTGGGGTTCATATTTAGAATCCTATTTGGGAATCCCAAAAGAGGAACTACTATGGGGCCTATATGTAGACATAAGGAAAGGGCTCAATGGAGCATAAAAAAATCCTGAAACCTCAAGCCCTCACAAAGTCAAGGGGTTTAGGGTTTAGGGTTTTGTCATTCCCGAGGCTTAAAGAGTTCATAGTTCGTATAGGGGCCTTAATAATTAGAATAAGGGTTTTGGGGTACATTATGCTACAAATTAATTATAATAAGGAACCCCCAAAATCATATAGGTAATCATGTAATGCCCCTACTTTAGTAGTAGCAGTCCTTGTCCTCCGGGTTTGGTGAGGCACCGGCCTCCAAGAGCAACCGTGTTGTGCCCAGACGTCCATTCGCCGCTGCGGCGACAAGGGGTGTCAGGCCGTGGCCGTTGCGTTGGCTCCTTGGATGCCCGTAGGGGTTTCGGGGTAACCCTAAACCCTAAACTCTAAATTGGGGTGTAGGGCTGGGGGCTGAAGTTTGCGAGTTTATGCTGGCGGTCTTCTTGCAAATGAATCTGACAAGGGTGAAGCCTGAGGATGACGCCATCTGGCCAGAACGGAACTGTAAGCCGTCGGAATCCCGAAACTGATGCAACGGTGGGACCGCATGCAGTGGTCGTACTGTCTTTTGCCAAACCTTTGTAGAAAGCTGTGGTCAAGTAGTGCATAAGCACACCACCACAACATAGTTTCGTCCAAATGCTGAGCTCAGTATACATACATGCATGCATGCATGCATGCATACACACATACCTGCATGCATACACACATACCTGCATACATACATACATACATACATACATACATACATACATGCATTACAGGCAACCGCAGGAACCTAAAGAATAAAGCACGGAGTATTGTTGACCGCTGCTGTTAAATAGTTTCCTCAGAAAATAACATTGAGCATTGCGGGCTGTAGTGGTCTCTTTTAATATTAGGGAAAGAGACTGGGCAGCATGGAACAAGCGTATATTTTCTTGACGATATTGTGCATCGGTCAGAAACAACGAGTCTTCACCGTGTAATTAGAGATAGCCGTGCCAGATGGAAGTGGCATGCACTGTGGCCACATTCAGACGAGTGCATCCAGCGTGAAAGCACACTATTTTGGCATTAAAGGACTATAAATATAGGCTTCTCAGCCAGGTGAAGTCAGCATGCGCGTAGCAGGTAAAACCAATAGAAAAACGTGTCAGCACCATATCTAATCTGGCAGTAGGTTGGTTACTCTGTCGCCCAATGCAGGCTGACAGAGCTGAAGGCCTAAACTGCAGTGCCCGAAACTGCACACCCTGCGCCCAAGCCTCACAGATCCCTACAGGCTAAACTCTTCACCACTACGAAGTTTTTGTTTTATCCAGCTTAAGTATAGTTAGGTAACCGCAAAAATCCAACCCCCATCCCCCACCTTACAGGGTTTAAAAGACTTTGGAAACTGGTTCCTGCTTCGCAGCCAATGATGGTTCCGAGAATTGATACGCTTGGATGAAACTTCGGGCGCTGATTGCAAGAAACGAACATAAAGCTTTCTGAGGCTGATGGATTCGACGATCACGTTCTTTAAAAAACATTCCAACATGCGCTAGTCACCTTTTGCAGGAATGTTTCAGAAAACCTGCCGACAGGCTGTGAATGTGGCATCCTGAGCCATCAGCAAAATGCTCGACAAGTCGCCAGATTGTGCTGAAGGTTTTTCCGCACAGGTTTTTTTAAAAAGAAAACTATTTTATTAAAATCTCATTTCGCACTTTTTTAAAAGAGAAAGGAATATTTTATTAAAACCTCAAAAAATTTAAAACACTTTCTTCACGGCAAAGAAACCCAAGCGGGTACTGCCAGGGCTGAATTTATCTCAAAAGACAAGCGCATGAAGAACATATAATCATTCACTCGTGTTTCCCGGGAAGGAGACTTAAATTACAGACTACAGTTTGACAACTCAGGGGTGGGGGATGGAGATCAGATGTGGCTGGTGATTAGGGGTTCAAACTTTTAGGGCTTACGGCCCCCCCTGGCCTAAATCAGGGCCCCATCTAAATCCCCTTATATTGAAGCCCAATAAGGTAGAGATATCCCTATGAAAAGCTTATGCTTATGTGCTAGTTGGGTCCCTAATAAATGGAAGCAGCTGAAGGTCGCATCTGCACGGGCCTCCAGCAGCAGCTCGAGGCTGTCGTTGCAACCAAAGGCTGCTGCCAGGTTCCTCCAGCTTGAGGCTCATGGGTTTTAGGGTTAGGGTTTAGGGTTTGGGGTTTGGTGTTTAGGGTTTAGGGCCAAGGGCTGGAGGATGTGCACAAAAACCAAGACTGCAACAGCTTGATTGATTTGGGGTTTAGGGTTTAGGGGTTTAGGATTTAGGGTTTAGGGGTTTAGGGGTTTAGGGGTGTAGGGGTGTAGGGGTTTAGGGTTTCGGGGGATGTTGACGCTGCCGACTTCGGGGCTCAAGCGCTACACCGTAAACGCCAAGCTGAACCCCAAAGCTTCCAACATCTAGCAAGGGTTTAGGGTTTAGGGTTTAGGGTTTAGGGTTTAGGGTTTAGGGTTTAGGGTTTAGGGCCCCCCAAAGCCTAGGCCCCATCCTCTCATAGAGAGAAGCCCTTCAAGCAAACGGCTCAGTCACAAGGGTGTAGGGCTTAGGGCCTTGAGTCAGGAGCCTAAACCCCAAACCCTAAAACCCAAACCCCAAAAACCTAAACCCTAAACCCGAAACCCTAAACCCTACACCCCAAACCCGCTTGCTAGCAGCCCGGGTGCAAGGCCGTGTCGCCATCGCCATCCGGCAAGTCCGGGTCCTGGGGCATCTGGAGGAGTGCCTCAACCTGGCTGCTATCCCACAGGGTCCTATGCACCTATTTTAGGGTTCCTTTAGGGGTTTAAGTTTAAGGTTTTAGGATGCCTTTAAGGGCTTCTGAAGTAGAGTGTAGGCTTTCTATATTAGGAGTTACTACTATGATTTAGGGAAGTATCCCCCGCAACAGTACACAGGACACTTTGGGTATGTGGTCCTTGTTGGTTTTTGTTGGGGAACTTTGGTTCTGTTTGGCATGCATGGGCCGAGGGTCCCGCTTGGACTTCCCTTTGGGAACATGGGCTTCAGGGCCCAATATGGGTTCTGGCCCTGAAAAAGGGGTTTAGGGTTTAGGGTTTAGGGTTTAGATGTAATATGGGGGCCTTAATAATTAGAATAGGGTTTTGGGGTACTATCATTACTATACGAAATTGGAGGATTGGCCACTGGTGATACTGTGGATGATATGCATCCTGCGTTTCCTTTACGGACCCTAAACTATGGGAATTATGGTATATGTTCCTTTTTATGGGTAATGCAGGATTTATACAATGAGCCGTATCAGTTAACATGAGCTACCACATTGAAAGAGGTTTCAGGGGTCGGGGTCGGAGGGGTGGCTGCGGCATTTGAGGCGACGGTCAGCGTTTCGACGAGGGCTTTAGGGATTTCAAGTCTGTACCATCACTTCCCATGTTGCATGACCCATAAGGCTCCATAGTAGCTCCTTGTGGGGATTACCTTAACGGATCCCAAATATGAACCGCAAAAAGGAACTACTATGGAGCCTATGGGTAGCTTTAACTCAGAGCTTCGTTCATCTCACATGTAAACTGTAGCCTCCCTACGTGCATGCACGAGGTACTCCACATGGACATTCCTAGATCCAAGTTGAATACGACGGACGCGTGCACCTGAGTACATAGGTACGTACATAAATAGGTGCACAGGTAAACGCATGTGAATAAATCATAGAGACCTGCATAACCAAAGTACCACTTGCTTTATGTATGAGGTACTTTCCTATGGCTAGGCCTCATTGGTGGCATCGTTGGCTGCTGCAGCAATAAGCTCATCGGCTTTGGTCTCCGTAGCTGGCGCCAAGGGAAGGATGAGGAGCTGCAAGTCACCGGCTGCGGGTAGCTGGGCGGTGTCGCCGAGGATCCGGCCATCTTGGGACAGGAGCCTGCAAAAAGCAGGGACTTCAGCATCTTTTGGGTTCGAACGGCATCACTAACTACAACTATGAAGCCCCTTTTGGGCCTCTTTGGGTTCGAATTGCAAAAATACCACGCACGAAAGTGCAAAAGTTTGGAAAAGCCTCTGTGCCTCTGCCGGTAGCGTGTCTGACCACAACGGCTTCGCAGTCGCTGTTTCAGAACGTGCACTGGCTGCTCAAACAAAGCCAAGGCTTGCAACCTTGGGCTTCTTTACACATTCCCCCCCGCGTATCCCCCATACGCTACCTTAACCTACCAGAACTTTTTTCATGTGGGCTCCCTTTAAATGCCATAGAAGGCACACCCTAACCCGCTAAACCCTATGCCCTAAACATGCAGACACAGCCTCTAGATCTGGTCCTACCAAGTCCTACCATGTCTGTAAAAAGCTGAAGCACAAAGCCTCTGGAGACTTCTAGCAGAGTGAGGGGCCTTAATAATTACCAATACTATTTCGGGGGTCAATATTATAATGACCCCGAAATGGTGTTAGAATAGGGCTTTGGTGGTTCATGATGCTATAAAACTTACCCGCAAACCCTGTGGCAGTTCATGAGGCCCCTATATCACACAGGCAACCGACGCTCGACTGGGAGCGGCCATGACTCAGATCCAGCAAGACACCCAAAGGTTTCCAACAAGGCTTGCAGTTTCGATGAGGGCTCTATGTTGGGTTTCGGGTTTGGGGTTTCCTAATTAAGGTTCTATGTTTGGCTTAGGGTCTCCATGTGTAGGACTCAGTGAGCAGGTAACCAAAACATGATGGCACCAAAGCCCTTGAAACGAATCCCCTACTGTCGCCGGGGTTTGGGGTTTAAGGGTTAGGGTTTAGGATTTATTAGGGTTACGAGGACTTAGGGTTACGGTTTAGGGTGTTTAGAATTTAGGGTTCAGAACTGCTGAACCCGCCTCATCCATGCATGCAGAAGAGATCAAGATCCAGCAACCCCGGAAACGAGTAGCCTACACCCCAAACCCTGAACCCAAGTCACGCACTTTCCAAGAGGGTCCACAAACACGAGAATTATGGCTTTACGTCCCAAAAGACCCTGCCCATCATGGTTTTGGGGGCTCCGCAATTCAGTGCGAGCATAGACCCTCTGGGTTTCTTTGCTACAACACGGGAGCTCGAGGGAAGGGCCAAACTCAAAGTTCTGAGTGCTGATAGACTCAGCAACCAAGCAGCTCCTCTGCGGAAAGCGTCATCACCACCTCACCGGAAGCCAGCCGCACATGCATCGAAGCCATGATGGCCACGGAAGTTTCGGCCGACGCTGGGCCAAGCTTCTCTGGGGTTTGATATACGCGCAATAGTGACGACAATGAGGTTTTGGGGCTACCCCACATTTTTCTAAGGAGCCCGAGGGAATACTTTAGAAGATTGGTCAGGAATCGTTGCACCACCTTGACACCGAGATGTTCATAGCGGTATTACCCTTGCTAGTAGCCATGCAATCCGTTTCACTGATGCCAGGGCCTTAATAGTTGTTTAAAAATGCTTTAGGACTTTAGGCTTCCTGAGGCTTCCTGAGTTGAGAAACTTATTTTCGGTGACGCCTGCACAGCCAGAACTTGGGTCAAGCTGCTGTTTTCACGCTGCTCTGTCCGTCCTATCTAAAAACACATTAGCCGCAAAGACAACTCCTCACATGGGGTTTAGCTTAGGGTTTACGGTACAGGCCCACCTCTTTTAGCACATGCCTTCTAAATTGAAGCCATTGAAGCCATGGTACTCGAAATCTTCGTCGAGGTGGGTTGACACTCTGGCCGCTGAAATCATCGCAGCTCGCGGAAGCTTCAGACAGGTTTCTGGTCTTTGACTTGGGTTTAGGACTCACCTTTATGTTCCTAGTGTAGAAACTTCGGTTCTTGCTTTTGTTCGGGGTCCCCGGTAGGGGTCGCATGGAGCTTAAGCTTTTGAGACTCGAGTCTCACTTGAAGGTTTGAAGGCTCGGGCTACTTTGGTTTGAGCATCCCACATCGGCCGAGCCACAACCCTCTGTGCTGCATGGACACCGTCGGAACTCCAACTTCAGCCAGCAGCTGAAACCCAAGCGCTACGCTTAATAGGTGCAAGTTTGCTGTGTTCATTTCTTTGACGCCGGAGTCTTTTCTCCTCCGGCGCGCCACTGGCTGCCCGGAGTGAAGATCATCTTCGCATTTAGACGGCGGAACCTCCACACAATACGAAGTATTGGGGCCTTCATACTTAGAAATAATGTAAGGTGTTTTGGGGTACAGTCTAGTATATTTAGAATAAGGAAGCGTAGGGAATAGTATTACTTAGCAATTCTTCTGGCGTCCATATTAAAGGATCATGGGGACCTTCGAGACAAGCTTAGTTCAGGCACTCGGAGCTTTAGATGCTCCGGGTTTCGGGCTTCAAGATTTTATCGCTTCGGGACTTGACAAGTACATAGATAGCTCCACGTGTGGTCCCTTTATCGGGTTTACTTGCAATTGTTTTTGAAAGCTTGCACGTTTGCTGCTCAATTCCGAGCCTCTAAGCAGAAGCTTGCCAGGGGAGGGAAAGGTCGTGATTTGCCTGGCAGTCCTACCGGCTTTGCAGTCTTGCACGGACATGTGGGTAGTTCTCTAAATTACCCTTTTAGGCTGCTTCTCGTAAGGGTGCCAGGGAACTACCCATGTAGCTCTTGCTCAATGAGTCATGAGGGCTTGGCGAGTCTTCCAATCTGGTTGATTTCTCCTCCCACCAGAACCATACATGCAACATCAGCTTCTATTGACGACTGCTGCTAAGCTACACGTTGAATGGGGTGTTGCCCTTGAGACTCTCTTCTGGATGACATGAGGTCACATAGTATCTATGAAACCCGAACGCGAATCGTCATGACTTGTGTGGAGAAAGGCTGGCCTCGTCCGGGGCATCTTGGCTCTTGAAGAAGGGCTGAAGCAGGCTGCGAACCTGTTAATTCGAAACACATCCTGTAACAACTGCACATGTTTAGTGACAATGGTCCATGTATGCACCAGCATGTACCCTACATATACTGACACAGTGAAACGGATTACAGAGCAAGAAGCGAGATGAACAAACAATACTAGGTTGCAAGGGGCTGTGCAACGGCTTCATCCCAGACTCCATTGAACCCGTCAGGCAGCTTTGGACACTCCGGCATACGGCATACATGCTTCGCTCGCTCGCTCGCTTGCTTGCTTGCTTGTACGCTTGCTTAAGTATTTCCTTCCTCCCTTCTTGACATGCTTACCCCTACACTCCAGAGTAGTTCCTGTTTGTGGTTCATATTTGGGATCCTATAACGGCAATCCCAAAAAGGAGCTACTATGGAGCCTGTGGGTACTTACTTTTGCTCCCTAACGCACACTAAGACTGCCCTCTTAAAGGAAGGCATCTTCCGCGATCTTCGTCAGCCGGAAGAACACGGCCTAGTGGCCCCCACCCAAGCAAGACCATGTAACTGTAGGGGCCCTTGAAATTAGAATAGGGTTGTCGGGTATCTTATACTACAGTTATAATAAGGAACCCAGCAAACTAGTATAGGTGACTAATTATTAAGGCCCCTAAACTATCCTCTCCTCTACCCCTCTCCGATCGAAAGCCGGAGCCCCAACGCCGAACTGGAGTAGATCAGCCATCGATCCTACATCTCTGGAGCCCAAAAGCCATTAAGAATCTAAGAGCTACGAGCATTAAGCCCTAAACCCGACAGAGTGAAAGGTGTCCCCTGTCACCCCGCTGAACCCGAAACCCTAAACCCCTAATCCTCAATATCTGAAGTCAAAACTCTATTACTATAAGCCCTAAATCCCGTAACCCTCAAAACCTGAACCCGGAAGCCTAAACCCAAAGCCCCTAATCCTCAGAACCTGAACCCTAAACCCTAAACCCTGAACCCCTAATCCTCAATATCTGAAGTCAAAACCCTAAACCCTAAATCCCTAATCCTCAAAACCTGAACCCGGAACCCTAAACCCCTAATCATTAATCCTCAAAACCTGAACCCTAAACCCTGAACCCGGAACCCTAAACCCTCAACCCTTAACTCCTAATCCTCAAAACCTGAACCCGGAACCCTAAACCCCTAATCCTCAAAACCTCAGGACCCTAAACCCCTAATCCTTTAAATCTGAACCCGGAACCCTAAACCCTAAACCCCTAATCCTCAAAACCTGAACCCGAAACCCTAAACTCTAAACTACAAACCCTCAAACCCTGAACCCGAAACCCTAAACCCCAAACCCTCAAAACCTGAACCCTAAACTCTAAACCCCTAATCCTCTAAATCTGAACCCGAACCCCTAAACCCAAACCACTAATCCTCAAAACCTGAACCCGGAACCCTAAACTCAAAACCCCTAATCCTCAAAACCTGAACCTGGAACCCTAAAGCCTAAACCCCTACTCCTCTAAATCTGAATGCAGCCCGTAGCCTGGCGAATCTCCCGTGGCCCACTGGGATGGAAGAAAGGACCCTGGCCACGGCGATGTTCGAATGCTCGGTGGTTTTTTGATGTAAGCATCAGCTGGGGTTTTGGGGCTTGGGGCTTGGGGCGTTTGTGGTTTCCAGCTCTAGAAGATTTTGTTTACAGATGTGGAGTGTTCATCAGTGCTTGAAGTTTCCTCCGCGTACTCTACTTAGGGCCAGAACTAGTCGTAGCAATCCCTTGAATCGAACGAACCCCTGAAACTTCAAATACTATACATAGGACCAGTAAGTTAATCTATGTATATATATATATATATATTGTTTGGTAGTATTCCTTGGGGCTACCTCCAAATTGTAATCCTAGCACTAAGGCCCCTATATCGCCGGGGATGTAGATTTGGCTTAGAACTCGGAGTCCTATCCTTGAAGGATGCAAACGTGGAGTTTTCGGGATTGGGGCTTTGGGGCTGCAGTTTAAGATTTTTTAGGATGGTAGGGTTTGGGGTTTAGGGTTTAGGGTTTAGGGTTAGGATGGTAGGGTTCAGGGATTAGGATGGTGGGGTTTAGGGCTTCAGGTTTGTAGAGCTGAGCAGCTCAGCCCAAGACTTGGGGTTCACGGGATTTGCTTAGTTGACGGATAGTCGGTTTAGGGTTTAGGATCAGGGTTTAGGGTTTAGGTTTTAGGGTTTAGGGCTTAGGATCAGGGTTTAGGGGTCAAGTCTAGAAATGTGTCTCTACTAATTTGGCGAGACTGGATGTGGCTTTTGAGTTCTGTGTTCTGTTCGCATCGCATCGGTCTTGCAATGGTCGATCCTGTGCTGCAGGTACTTGGTCCAACTCTTACAAACATTTTGAACGGAGTTGGCTTTCATAAACGATCCTACGGTTTAGGGTTTATAGGGTTTAGGGTTTAGAGGAATCGATTCTTTCCCACGCCGGCTGCCTGTTGCCCTGGTCGAGCAGAGGTAGCCAACACTTCATCAAGAGGTGGTTTCCCAAACAGATCATCCCTTCGTACAAACCCCTAAAACATAGTAGGATCCTTTTTGAGGGACCCCTCATAGAAGGCTTGCCGAGTACTACTTTGGTGTGGAGGGCTGTGGCCTTGGGGTAACTCGCAGAAGCACTTTGCGGATTTGCCATTTACTGTCTGTAATGATGTAATGTAAGGACCCCAAGATGTGCTGAGGAGTTGCAACCTCGAAAGGACAGGAAGGGACGCGGTCAGGGTTGTAGTCTGAATCAATTAAGGTCTGGGCTTGGGCTTACGCAGGTGGCGAAATCAATAAAAACGACGGTTGGTCTGGCCACCGCCCGTTTATGCCGAACGACGGTGCCAGACACGAAAAAAACTGTGAAGACCTTCAGCGCTCAACCGGCAGCCAAGAGACACGCATAGGAGAGTTACATGCAGAAAGAGGCTGGCGGTAACACAGGCAGCGTCGGAAAATCCAATTGATTCAACCCCTGTCCCGCAATTTCTACACCATAGCCCTCGATGTATATCCCTGCCCTCTAAACCATTAAACCCTTAACCCTAATCCGGTCCCTCAACCAACTCTTGACCCTAAACCCTAAACCCTAAACCCTAAACCCTAAACCGCTAGTCTTACATTGCCAAACTCTAAAAACCCCAGGCCCTCCAGCCCAACGGGCCCAAACCCCACACTCTCTTTTCGCCCGGCAGCTGCAACGGATTCCAGGCTGCTACGTCTCCAGCAGTCGGTGCTGGTAATTGCAGGTTACCCAAAGGGTCCAAGTAATGGTATAGTATAGACTTTTGGGTCCTAAATACCTACTAAGTACCTACTATAATGGTACTTGGACCCTTTGGGTTAGCTTTTGCTTCAGAGTTTAGGGCTTATAAGGCTTAACTAGGCTGTGGAGTTGTAGGGTGTAGGGATTTGTGCTGAAGTCTTCTGCTGCCGACTCCTTTCAAGCACATGAGACGCAAAAATGATGATGGGCGTAGGGCCTTGGGGTTTAGGGCTCCTACTGGTTACTCCCAGCCGTACTATTTTCCAGCCCCATGCAAGCAGTTCCGTGCCAATAATTGTGGCAGTTGTAGCAGGGGCAGTGGCAGTGGCAGTGGCAGTGGTGATGATGGCGACGATGACCCTGCCAAGATCTACCGCTTGAAGAACTGGCTGCTTGAATTCTCCTTTCGCAGAAGTTCCAGTGCCCATGCACGCTGTGAGCTTTGATTGCAGGCGCTGACAACGGCCTTCGGGTTTGCAGCTTTTAGTGTGTAGTTTACCCTTAGGCTCTAAGGACTTAAAGTCTAAGGCTTTTGAGCCCAAAGACCATGCTATATAAGGCTTTTGTGCTATTTTGAGCCTTGGGGGAATAGCAGGAGCGCCTTCAGTTGTCCATATAACCATAACCTGTCCCAAAACCCTATTCTAGTCTACAGCCGCTTCATTCGAAGACACAAACCCTTGACAGAACCGTCAAAGGCACTCCATGCCTAGTAATGCCGCCACGGTGAGAAACTGCATTGAGATTCAACACCTCAAGCCCACTCTTAGCATAAATGAACAACCCTAAACCCCAAGCCCCTAGCACAAATCCCCGTGAAACCGAAAAATCTCAGGGCCTTCGAGCCCGCCCCTGCGCCCATCAGGGTCATGGTGGTCGCAACACCTGTAGGGCTGATTGCTTGGGGCTTACGACTTGGAATCTCTGGGTTGGTTAGGCAGTTTAGGGTTTAGGGTCTAGGGAACCACACCGACATTACTCTCACCGATTCCGGCTTCCATATTATACAGCTTGGAGACGTCCCTGGGATCGTAAACTAATTCTCGCCCCGTCATAGCCTCGTGCAGAAACAGACTGACCCCAAACCCTAAACCCTAAACCCTAAACCCAAACCTTGAACACCAAACCTTAAACCTGTAACAACGTAACCCCAACCCCAAAACTAAACCGCGAACTTTGAACGCCCAGAACCTCCGACACAGAACCCCAAACCCTAAACCCTAAACCCCTAAACCCAAACCCCTAAACCCTAAACCCCTGAACCCAAACCCCTAAACCCTAAACCCTAAACCCCTAAACCCTAAACCCTGTGACCCCAAAAACTTCCAACAAAGAAACCTCTGCACCCAAGAGCCACCTTGAGTGACGGTGGTGGGGTTGATTCCTGAAATCGCCGCAGTGTCGGTGCCAGGCACCTGTGGAGGAGTCTCGCGATATCAAGCTCCAAAAACCTGAAATCCCAAACCCTCAACCTCTAACCCGCTAAACCCTACATAAACCATAAAGCCTAAGCCCTAAAAACTCTAAACTCGTAAAGCCTACAGCATAATGTAGGGTTTTGTGCATTGAGGTCCTCACGTTCTCGGCAGCTACACCCGCAACCCCCAAACCCCAAGCCCTGAACCTTGAAACCTAAAACCCTGAGCCATGGCAAGTCCCTGACAGATCCAGGGTTTTGGATTTAGGGTCCCCCTGTCAGCCTCATAAGTTATCATGTCCAACAAGAGTGTATGGGGCTCTTTCGGGCTCGAGTGTAAGGTTTAGGGCTTAGGGCTGCCGGGGCCAAGGTCCTTAACCAGGCCCG